ATATAATAAATCTTAATAAATTAATAACTCTCTCTGTCTATATATATAGTTATATTTATATAGTTATAAATTTATTAAGATTTATTCTGCCTTTTCTTTCCTTATAGTTCCCAGAATAAGCATATATTTATATTAAAATGCTTGAACACAAATTGTCTGGAGTAAAAAAAAAAGCAGGACACTAAAACTTAGGAATACTTATTGAACATACCATATATTACATTATTTTTAAAAAACACAACTCTATTTACGCCCAACAGACTCACTCCTACCCGCTTTTTCAAGCCCCTCACAACTAGCTAACGGTTCTTTTCTGCTTAAATACCCCCAACGTTCCATTCTAGCAGCCAATGCGAACGCAGAATGGAGGCACGTGAGCAAAACACCTTTCCCCCCCCCTCGCGCGCCTTCTTAAGGACCGCAACGTGTGTCCGTTGCCCCGCAAATGGAGGAGACTTGGAGCTGCAAAGGGGAACCGGAATAAACAGGGATCGGTGGCTTACGTAGCTGTGTTTTTCAAAAGCTTCTTTTCATGCCGGAGTGCCATAGAGAGAAGAAATGGAGAGGCAGAGTGAGATAACACGTCCGGAAGAAATTCAATGCTGAGTCTCCATAGTTCTAAAGTGAGAACATCTGTGCAATTTATACAAACCCAGTTCTATCGAAGTGTTAATTGTTCCATGCGCTAACCATCAATTCAAAGTGAAATATTATCATTAGAGTCTACATTCACAGTGTCATATGTTGCATGATGTAGGGCTCTTAGTATAAAATAACACTAATCAAAATATATTTCAAATGCTATGAGACTAATAATGGCAGCACTTTAACATTTTTTTGCTGGAAGTGCAGGCTATGTGATGGATACGATATTCACAGAAGCAAAAGAAGCTGAAAGAACTATCTTATTCATGGAGTGGAAAATTTCCAGATACTCATTGGAGAGATGCCCCATATATTTCTTTGTTTCTTTTGCTTTTGCCTGATATAATTGCAAAAGGCATTTAAAAATGTTTCCTCCTACCGGCAACAGTGAGAAGTACCCATGGAAACCAACCAACCCGTTGATATTGTACAGTAATTGCATTTTTTTCTTATTCTTCACCTTCTCCTAAGGAGCTTTACCACCCCCTCCATCCTACGCTGGGGCCATTTTCACAATCGTAGATGTCGAAAACGTACTGGAGGGCTGGACCAAACTTCTCTGTAGGCTTCCACAACGGATCACTCCTCACCGCGCATATCATCCCACAGCACGGATGTCTGGCCCAGTCTCCTTCCATCGGTGGTTGATTGAATGTCTGGTCCGGTCTGATCACGTTCTTTCCGTGTCCTTGTCCTCGGAGGAAGACTACCACTGTCCATTCTAAGGCTTCTGTTATCGATTCTCCTCTCTTTCTTAATTCTAGATCTGGTAGTACTGTAGTCTGCCTACTTTCAAATTCGGAAAGTCAGCAACCCACTTGCTTTCTCATATGTGTGCTCCTCTCAAGGAGACTGGCCCCTTATTTTAACTGCTACACCACACTGGCTTTCAAAGCCAAACATTTCTCCATTCATTTCTATATTTCTGTGAGGAAGAAGGAGTACTGAGGAACAAAAGAAAGAACAACTACAGTCCTATCAATGATTAAGGGTAGAAATCATCTAAAATGGGCAGAGGTGCTGGCTGCATTCCTTTATGCACACCTGGTTACTTGAGAAGCTACAGTCACGAATGCGACCAGCACATCTTTTAAAATATTGCTTCCATTCACATTTTGACAAAAAAAATATAGGTTTTTTTTCAGTCTCATTTACTTCGCAAGCTTGTTGTAATTATGGAGTAGGGAGGAAAGACCTGTATTTCAATTTTTTCTCAGTGGTTTATTATTGTAAGGGACGTGGTGGCGCGGGGGATTAAACCATAGAAGCCTCTGTGCTGCAAGGTCAGAACACCAGCCGTCGTAAGATCGAATCCATGTGACAGAGTGAGCTCCCGTCGCTTGTCCCAGCTCCCGCCAACCTAGCGGTTCAAAAGCATGCAAATGCAAGTAGATAAATAGGGACCACTTCGGTGGGAAGGTAACAGCGTTCCGTGTCTAAGTCGCACTGGCCATGTGACCACGGAAGATTGTCTTCGGACAAAACGCTGGCTCTCTGGCTTGGAAACAGGGATGAGCACCGCCCCCTAGAGTCGAACACGACTGGACTAAATGTCAAGGGGAACCTTTACCTTATTATTGTAAGTTCCCTTGAGAATCATTTAGTGAAAAGACTGGATACACATCTAATTAGAACACATTCTTCAATTATTGCATTAGAGCTAGTGGAGTGTGCTTAACCATTTATAAATTTTAAATTGTTTAAAGGTTGTATTGCCTCAAGCCAGTATATAATGTTGTTTTTAAGGGTCCATTAAGCCAGTGTGCTAAACCGTTCATAAATTTTAAATTGTTTAAAGATTTTATTGCCTCAAGCCAGTATATAATAAATGTTGTTTTTAAGGGTCCATTAAGCCAGAACCAACTTACAGGAAGCCTAACAAAGCTTTGAAGGTGAGATATTTAAGGAGTGGTATTGCCAATTCCACACACCCCTGGTTAGTTTCCATGGCAGAGCTGGAACTAGGGATGGATAATTAAATAAATTACTCTGCATCAGATGCCACTATAAAAGTCCTAAAACAGATCACCAGGGCCTTTTTGTTGCCAAGAAACACAACCCTCCACAGCCACTCTAGCCATCCCCATCTATGGTACGCGCGGGACTCTCTAGCCGCCGCCTCCCCTGGAGTCTATGGACTCCTTTTCCCGGCTGAGCCTCTTCCTTCCTGCTCGCCTTCTTTTCCCTTTCTCAACTTTTCCTCCGGCCCCGCCCGTTTGGGTGACGTTGCCTCCGGAGCCGGCCAATGGGCGGGCCGGAAAGGCTGGGCGAGCTCCGCCCAGGGGCCTGATCAGCTGATGGCTGGCCATGTCTGTTGACAGGAGGAGCAGGCGCAGGACTTGGGTGTAAGAGGCTGGGGGGGG